TAACATCCATGCCAATCCTCCTCTTTTTGCTGAGGAAGACCAGCTCTGAGCTAACATCTATGGCCAATCCTCCTCCCTTTTTTTTTTCCCTTTTTCTCTCCAAAGCCCCAGTAGATAGTTGTATGTTATAGTTGCACATCCTGCTAGTTGCTATATGTGGGATGCCGCCACAGCATGGCCCGACAAGCGGTGGGTCAGTGCGCGCCGGGGATCCGAACCTGGGCCGCCAGTAGTGGAGCGCGCCCACTTAACTGCTAAGCCACGGGGCCGGCCCCCTCTTATTACTATCTTAAATGATACAATTTGTGTGTCCTCTGCCCTTCTCCTCCCTAGAATGAAAGCCTCATGAGGACGAGGATCTTAGTCTCATTCACTGCTTTATTCCTATTGCCCAGGACAGTGCCTGGTGCCTGGTTCTGGCAGGTGCTCAGTAAATATTTGAATGAAGCAGTGAATGAATTTCCTCCCCGTTAACTCCCCCAAGAACACTGACAGCGAATGGCAGCACACACAGATTTTTATTAAAGGATAGTCTGGTGGTTAGCCTGTCAGTCAGAGCCCGGTCACATAGCCTCCTAAGAGCGCCGCCTCTGGTTCCCCTCCACTTCAGAACTTTCTGTGGTTACACAGAAGCCACACAGAACTTCCTGTGCTCTAAATAATTTGGCCAGGAGAAGAAGCTTACCTTTCTGTCAGACTTAAGCAGAGTGGCTGAGGGGCTTGGCTGTGGAGCCAGACTGCCTGGTTCAAATCTTCCTGGCTACGTGACTCGGGCAGTTCCTCATCCTTTATGTGCCCCAGTTTATTCATCTGCAAATTGAGGCTAGCAGTAGCACCTGTTTGGTTGGGTGATTTGAGGATTAAATTTGAGTTGCTATAGCTAATGTGTTAGGAACCATTCTAGGACATATGTGCTCAATAAATGTAGGCAGGATAATGATGATGGTGGTGGTGGGATTTGGCCAATAATGTCATAGGGTGAGTATTTTTGTACTTTGTTTTTAATCTGATCATTCCATTTTATTAAGTTTTTTCGCCATTGCTTTCTTAAAATGTAAGAATCAAGTCGTCGAGAGGTGTCATGATGGAAGCAGAGATTGGAGTGACGTGGGGCTGCCAGCCAAGGAATGCAGGCAGCCTCTAGAAGCGGGAAAAGGCGAGCAAACCCATCCTACCCTAGAGCTTCCAGAAGGAACGCAGCACTGCCATTTCAGACATCTGACCTCTCTACGATAAGTGTTCACCCCCAGAAACACTTACAGAAGCAAGTCAGTTGGAATGTGTTCTGCCTCGAAGTCTTGAAGCCAACAGTTTGAAGAAAAGCAATTGGGGATTCTTGTTTACCGGGATTGTTGGTGGGACCCTGGTGGCTGTATATGCTGTGGCCACACCATTTATAACACCAGCCCTCCGAAGAATTTGTTTACCTTTTGTTCCTGCAACTACAAAGCAGATTAAAAATGTTGTGAAAATGTTGCGATGCAGAAGAGGATCCCTGGTCGACATTGGCAGTGGCGACGGACGTATCGTGATAGCAGCTGCAAAGGAAGGATTCCCGGCTGTGGGTTATGAGTTAAACCCGTGGCTAGTCTGGTACTCCAGATACTGCGCTTGGCGAGAAGGGGTGCAGGACTCTGCCAAGTTTTATATTTCAGATTTGTGGAAGGTGACTTTTTCGCAGTACTCCAATGTTGTTATTTTCGGCGTGCCTCAAATGGAAAAATAGTAACCACACTGTGGAGAGAACAGATACCACCTTAACCCAGTGGTGAACGTCACTTTACAGTGGGAGGACCCCACGGGCGTCTAACTGTGGAGCCCCGAGAAGTTCATAGCCCCACTTGTGGGGTACTGCGAAAGATGCACACAGCTGAGTCATCGCGAGCGAACATCCGAGGACCCCGAGATGCCACAGCTGGAGAAGAAACTTGAGCTTGAACTGGAGGATGACGCTAGAGTCATTGCTTGCCGGTTCCCTTTCCCGCACTGGACTCCGGACCAGGTCACCGGAGAGGGGATAGACACTGTGTGGGCCTACGACATGAGCACTCTCAGAGGGAGGGAAAAGAGGCCCTGAAGATCGATGCATTTCCAGTCGGTCATTCAAATATAAACTTCATTGTTATTATTATTATTTTTTATATATGAACTTTATTGAGAGTGTTTGCTGAAGCATTGGTGGTCTTTGATTTTATAGAGACTTATAGCCATGTCTTCACCAGAGAGTATATTTTTCTTTGATATGGAATGAGAAATTATTATTACTTTCGGTAACTTTTGGAGAAAACAACAAAAGTTAAGAATAGTAGGTAGATTTAAAGTCCCCTTTCATGGTATATTGTGAAAAATGTGCTTCCTACCTTTCCATGTACTTGGATGTATGAAAATATGAATAAGTCACGGTCATATTGATGGGAATTGATGGGTGGGAAAGATGTCAACTGCTCTTCACATTATAAAGAGTATGATTGAATGCCACAGATGAGAAGAAACACTTTTTAAAGAGGGTATGTATTAGTAAATGTCTGCAGTTTCCTATAACTTTATTCATACTTAAGATTTATCTCTTTCTCTTCTGTACTTCATGGCAAAATTAATTTTTTAAAGGATTTAGAGAGGCATTCATATTTTACAACATATATTAGGAGTAATTTGTTCCAAGGCCCCTGGATTGCTGTATCTTATTGAATCTAAGATGTATACGGTATGTGTGTAAGTGTGTGTGTGTACATACACATTTCAGCATTTCTGAAATTGTGGTACACCTTCCAGTGGATGGTGTTTTATAACTGGAGTCGGGAGCATTGTCCGTCATGATGTAGCTGTACAGCAACCGCCGTTGATAGAATCTCAGATTTTTTTT